CTGAAAGACGGGTGCTAATCATATCAACAGCAGTGGAGGTCCCTGATCCAGCGGTCGCCTCATGCCTGGGACCATGTGGATACCTGTTACATATTCCCCCATTTGGTCCTTATAGCAACTCTATCATGTGGTCATCTTTTCATTTCCATTTTCCAAATAAGGAAACTGAGACACAGTAGGGAGAATCAAACCACTCTCAAGCCCTCTGTATTAGTCTGCTCAGGTTGCCATAACAAAATACCACTGCCTGGGAGGCTGAAGCAGCGGAAGTTAGTGTATTCTCACACAGTTCTGGAGACTGGAAGTCCAAGATCAGGGTCTGGGCATGGTCGTGTTCCAGTGAGGGTTCTCTTCCTGGTTTGCAGACAGCCACCTTCTTGCTATGTCCTCACATGGCAGAGACTCGCTCTCTCTCCATCTTCTTACAAGGCCACCATCCTTTCGGATTAGGGTTCCACCCTAATGACCGCATATAACCTTAATAGCCACCTAAAGATCCTGTCTCCAGATATAGTCATGTTGGGGGTTAGTCATATTGTGGGGCGGGGAGGGGGCGGGGAGGCAACACAGTTCCAGAGTAGCCGCTTTGCCTACAAGAGGCAGAGCTGTCATTAGAACCTGGGAGATCGGACCTCAGAGCCCGAGCGTTGAAACTCTCCCCACCATCTCTCCCCTCCCCTCCTCTCTCACTCGCCACCTCTCCAGGGCTCCCTCTAGTGCACAGCCCTCTTCTCTGGGGTGTGATTTTTTCATTGCCTTTTTCCTTTGTCCCAGTTGTCTTAAGCCCCAGAGAGCAAAAGAGCTTTGCTTCAGAACAGGTGAAAACATTGCACTTGACAACTCCACCTGGATCGTCACGGGCTTGGGAGCACCCATCATTCGTTCTTTAGAGGGCAAATTGTCATGAAAACTCATCAGTGCCCGGCCTTTGCCTTTGCCTTTGCCAGTCATAGAGCATGTCAGCAAAAGAGAAGAATGACAAGGGGCGTAGTCAGGCTTTCCAAGGCTGCGATAATTCACCCTCCGTGTAATGAGATGAAAAGCTGATGTATAATTAATTTAAAGCAGTGGTGTCCTTATGAACCTGACAAGCAATCCCACACCATGCTCCCTCCTAGCAGGGTAAGGGAGGCAGCAAACAGAAGCCCAGCAGGAGGGGCTCCATGCAGGGAGGAAGGGGGTGTGGTGGGCTAAGCAGGGTAGGGTCAGGGCCTTCTCACAGCAGCCATGGTAGGAGGGTTGTGAATGTGGGCCATGATGCCAGACAGCCTGGGTTCAAGTCCCATCTCCTCCATTTATTAGCGGTGTGACTCAGTTACCCCATCTGTAAAATGGGGACAATAATAATAGGATGCTAGTAGGAAACTAAAGAGGCCGTTAGGAGGAATAATAACAGTTAAAGAAGACATTTATCGAGTACCTAATAAACGTTAGTGGTATTTCCCTACAAGAACTGGAAACCTCGGGGCACACTGGACGGTCCTGAGTTTGAATCGCAATTCCGTTGATTCAGGTAAGATCATGAACTGCTTTGAGCCCTGCTTTACTTCTTTGAGAAATGGGGCCCAAACCCCTGTCCCACAGGGCTGTTATGAAGACTCCAGCACAAGGATATAATGTCTGGGTGGCAGGTGCCAATCACGTGGTGGGCACAGTCACTACTGTTTTCTGGAAACAGCTCCCAACCTCCCTCTGCAGATTCCTAAGACTCAGGTGGGACCGACCTCCTGGCCCCTTCCCCACTGCTTTAGGTAGGGGCACATGACCAGGTCAATCACGCCTGTGACCTTCAGCCTCTGCTGTGGCTGTTCAGCTAGCAGAAGTAGGAAAACCATCGGTCAGCATGAGTCGTGGCTCTGAAACACAGCCAGCACAGGGGAAAGCAGGAGACAGAGACCGAAGTCAGCTGGAATTCTAGACTTTTTAGGTATAAAACCCAAGAAATTCCCTTTGGTGTTGAAGCAAGTTTAAGTTTCTGCCCCCTGAGCCACACAGTATGTAAAGTACTCAGTACTGCCCAATGAATTAAGGATCCTCTCCTTTTCACTTGTAGCTGGAAGGAGCATTATCTCTCTCTCTCTCTCTCTCTCTCTCTCTCTCTCATCCGTCTATTATCATACGTAGGTATACACGTGCACACACACATATATACATAACCTCTTACAGTCAACAATATTTTCACTTACAGGAAATGTACTGTCATATCTTTTCCTATCAGTTAACTCTCAAAACAGTGCTAGCAGTAAACAAGGTATTATTTTCACCATTAGCAGGTGAAAAATTGAGGCCAAAGAGTTGGAGACTCCAAAATCAAGCAGCAGGTTCTATCCTTTCTTGCTTATGATGGGAATCCAATGCCCTAAGAGGCCAGCGTGCACAGGGAGCTTTCCCACTGACCCAGCACTTACATAGAATTAAAGGGGTCTGTCATTAATCTGTTGGCATCTTGGAGACCATGAACAGAGCATCGAAAAACGATCCTAAAAAGGGAGGATGCCGACACATCCTCCCTCCTTCAACACACATCACGGTCCAGATGTACATCGCATGCCCTTACTAGGTCTAAGGAGTCTCCCCTGAAACAGTTCAAGCTCAGAGATCTTCATCTCAGCATTATTTACATTGGCAAGATAATTAGAAACAGCCTAAATAACCTATACGACAGGTTAGACGTCTTATTGAACTTCTCCACAGTGGAAGGTTATGTAGCCATTAGAAGTGATTTACAGAAAGTTTGTAGTAAGGAGATAATGCTCCTACTAGACAATTAATTTGAAAAAGCAAAATCCAACATTGTTATGCATGGTTTTATATCAGTGACATTTACAGTCATATTGATATGAGAAAAGAAGTATAAAAAGAATTACACACCGAAATGTAATCTGGTGGTGGTAGGATTCTGGATAATTGTTGCCTTCTTATGTATGTCATTTTCTGTATTTTGCAATGAACCTATGTTGCTTTTCTGATTAGAAATGATGCAGCCACAGTGGAAAATAGTACGGAGATTCCTCAAAAAATTAAGAATATAAGTAACATATGAGCCAGCTGTCCCAATTCTGGATATTTATCCAAAGAATACAAAAACATCAATTTGAAAAGATATTTGCACTCCCATGTTCCTTGCAGTGCTATGTATAATAGCGAAGATATGGTAAACACCTAAGTGCCCATCAACGGACAAATGGATAAAGAAGATGTGGTATATATATACAACTGATCACTACTCTGCCATAAAAATATAGATGAAATCTTGCCACTTGAAACAACATGGATAGAATTTGACAGTTATTATGCTAAGCTAAATATGTCAGATGGAGAAAGACAAATATTGTATGATTTTACTCATATGTGGAATATAAAAAGCAAACAAACAAAAAATAAAGGAACAAACCAGATCAATCAAAAACAAACACGTACATACATACTGAGAATAGAGGAGTGGTTACCGGAAGGAAAGGGATGGGCTGGGGGAAGGGGAGTGAAATGGGTAAAGGGAATCAATTGTATGGTGATGAATGGAAGCTTAATTTTGGGTGATGAGCACACTGTAGGGTATACGGAAGTAGAAATATAATGTTGTACACATGAAATTTACATAATGTTATAAACCAAATGTTACCGCAATAAAAAATAAATTTTAAAAATGTCCTCATACAGCAATCAAAACATGACGAGGTTTATTTCCCCCAAATAACTGAAGTGTTTGGGTGGCTGGAGACATGACAAGTGCACACTTGTTACCCAGATTCTAGGGTACGACACACAGCAGGGCTTTTGCCCACAGAAATGCCCAAGTCTGAGGCATCTGCCGGGCAGATGTGGATTTTCTCAAACAGGACAACTGATGTCCCTCCTTGTCCTATCACCCAATGTTCAGAGTGCTTCTATATATGAAGGGCAAGAGAAATAACTGGTGATGTTAGGGATTCAGGCTAGGTTAGACTTTCCCATCAGAAAGGATGCTCTTAAGATCAAAAATCTGTCAGCTGAGATGCAGAATGAAACTGTCAGATTTTGTTTCCTAGAATAGCCTGTCCTCTCCCCTTCAACAAAATCCAGCTCAGGAAACATTGATTAAGTGCCCCTAACATGTCTGAGGCTGTATTAGACTCCCAGAAACAAAGAACCAGGAAACAGCCTTTGTTCTCAAGGAGCAGGTGATTTCTTAGTAAGGACAGATAAATAAAAAATAATTTGGGTTCAAGGTGATGCAGGCTATGTTGGGTCAAGCACAGGTCAAGGTGGAGACATAAGGAGTGTTCACCCAGCCTGTGGGGCAGCGAAGGCTCCTCGCCTACGTACCTCTCGAAAGCTGAACCAAAGGAATGCACGGCATTTGGTCAGAGGAAGCTGGGGAGACAGGAAGGTGGAAGTTTGAGGAAGAGGAGACTTCACACGCAAAGAAACAGAGGCAGGGAAACAACCAGCAAAGGGGCAAATCTAGGACACAACTTAAAGCAGAGATGATAGCCAGGGGTGGGAGGGAGAGAAAGTTCCAGAACATGGCTCCTAGTGGACCTCGTCGGCCAGATTCAAAACTTGGAATTCAGCATGTCCACACCGGGCAGCCACCCTAAGTGGAGTAAAACATCAGCTCCTCATGTTCATGGCAAGTCCTGCTTGCCATGAACACTGTGCGTGTAGTTTTCTAAAAAGTTAAATTCCCCTTAGAAGACTCCATTTGGCATCCTCTTATAACATTCTACATGTGTTCTCAAACATACAAAAACCTTCTCTTCTAAACCGATTTCAATTCTGATTCACCAGGTAAGAGGACCGAATGAAAATTCAGCCTATGTTTAATGATCTCATCAGAAAATGTACTCTACTGAATAGTCATCAGAGCGCGTACCCAACGAAATATTCATAAGAATATTTGAACCCAGAAAATTTCATTTCTTTCTCTCTACAGTACAGAAGCTTCCTTCTAGCAGAGCCGGATTTGCATTTGGCTCCATGATGAGGATCTCACCAGAGCCCTGGATGGAATCACTCACCACAGATTGACCAAGAAAGGATGCTCCAGCCCCTGCATGATCTGGAGCTCCCGGAAGACGTTCCGAACTTCGTCCCTCTCGATGCACTTCTGCTTGTTCATATACTTCATTGCGTACATTTTCTTAGTGTCTCGCTTCTGCACGATGCAGACCTGAGTGACAGCCAAAAGGGAGAACATTCAGGCCAACGTTTCAAAGGAACAAAAAGGCGGCCCCTCATGGCATCCCTACTCCTGGGTTCAAGTCCTGGTTCTGAAATCTTGCTAGTGGAGCAGCACTGGCTACGCCACAACCTCTCCAATATTTGCAAAATGGAAGAGCTGGACCAGATTCACCTGTTGACCAGGTATTTACACTAAGTAAGTGCTGAAAAAGCAGCTGCAGAAACAGGAGGGGGAAGAGGCAGCCCTGCACTCAAGGAGCTCATAGCCTGGGAGGAAAACAGACAGATGCACCAATATCTACGACGCTGAGATACACGTATCCGTGCCTCCCGTGGCCCCCGCCCTCCCCACTTCCGCTCACACCTCCATCGCCAGCCCCACTTCTCTTTGCCCGACGATTCTGTCTGCCAGCAGAGCCCGCGCTGCTGTAACAGACTGGCGATGCCGAAGAGTTAAGGTCCACAGAAGCAACACTCGGCAGATGCAGGCAGCTGGGGCATCTACACCCCAGACCCCTTGTCCATCCCACGGCTCCTGGAGTTTGAGAGTTTGCCCACAGGGCTAACTGGCTTGACGGCACACCCTTACCAGCAGCATCCTGCCCTTCCTTCCCTGACTCACTTCCCAGCTCACTACCTGTGCCTGCTTCCTCTCCAGGGCCCTTGAGGAGACCCAAACTAAGGCACATGGGCCCTGGGGGAACAAAGAAGTGGTGACAGCAACGGTGGCAGCTCCTGTACTGAGCGCTCTACTTTGGGAGACTGAGCAAACTGTCTGTCTCCTTGATTATGTCACGTAATCCACACAAGAACCTTGCGAATAAAGGCTCCATCTTCCCTTGAGCACGAGGAAGCTGCAGCCCCGTGTGCACTAGTTAACTTGCCCGGAGTTCAACAAGTCCCTCGGTGTCAGGACAGTGATTCAAACCCACAACAGTCTGATTTTTGAGAGATGCCCTTACTCACAAGGGGCAGCGCTGGGAGGGGGGACATGCTGTCAGAGAAGGCTCTCTCGAGGCACTAATGCCAGAGGGTGGGCATGAAAGGATGGAAAGACGGCAAAGGCAAAATAAGAGGCTTTTAGGGGAAAGGAAAGATATAAAGGAGGACATAGAGCCTTAGGACACCCGGCAAGGAGTATGGTGTGGCTGGAAAAAAGCAGCAGGGTGAACAGGTACTGTATTCCCAGCATCCTGATGGGGAATTGTATTCATTTCCTCGGGCTGCCATAACAAAGTACCACTAACTGGGGGCTCAAAATAACAGAAATTTACCGTCTCACAGTTCTGAGCCAGAAGCTCCAAATTAAGGTGTTGCCAGGGCCACGTCCCCTCTGCAGGCTCTCGGGGAGGGTCCTTCTTTGCCTCTTCTAATTTCTGGGGGTTGTTATCAATCCTTGATGCCCCTTGCTAGCAGCTACATCACATGAATTTGGGGGCGGATACTATTCAACCCAGTACAGTAACTAGTTTTATTCCCCTCACTTGACAGATAAAGGAAGAGAAGCACAGAAAGGTTTTAGACCTTCCTCACACCTCAGGGCTCAAACCCAGGCTCTCTGCCTTCCCAGGACGCACCAATGATGCATCCTCCCTGGGAACAGGTCTGTGATAGAGAACGTGAGGGATGTGGTTACGGGCCTGGGAATTCGGGGTTTCCTCTGGGCGTCCCAAGTTGGTCTTCTATTGGAAATTGGACCCCTTTTGCTCCGACGTGCTATGAATCTGAGGGAGATACACGACGGTGGGGAAAAGCCTGAATTCCAATTCCCACTCTGGTTCTTGTTGCCTTTCTGAGCTTCTGTCTCAGCATCTGTCTGAACAGAGTTATCAAAGCCCACCCTGCCCCACTGGGGTGAAACTAAATGAGACCAAGGAAGTGGGAGTGCCCGGCTGTGTCTGGAGGATGATAAATGTCATCCGAATCTCAATGTCTTAAGAAGCACATTTCATGAAATCTCCAAAAGAATGCTTTTCCAGGCAGTACGATTAGTGGCATGAGGTTGAAGGCCCAAGAACTTTACCAGTGAACTTGAAAATATAAAACCACAGAAGGCAGGGGTGTGCTGGACAAAAGCCCCTTGGGGCCCTGGTTCGCAGGCATCTGAAGAGAGACTTCCAGAGCCCTGAGACCCATGTCCGCAGGCAGACACGCAGGGGGCAGATCATTCCACTAATTAGGGTTTCTCATCTCTCTCACTCCTCATTTGCCTTCTCAGAAGAGATGTGGAGTAGACATGGTCTCTGCCAGGGCTGGGAGCCCTGAAATCCAGTTGGCTGCATCATCTCGAAAAGCTGAGGCTGTGATTCCACGGAGTCTGGGCAATGCCCCCATCAGAGGAAGACCCCTCCCAGCCCCGGCTCTTGTTGGTATGACTGACGATGGGCAAAGGTGCTGAGAGAGGGCTCTCACCTCCCGGGGCAGGGTAGGGGGGTGGGCGGGAAGGAGAAAGGTGACACTCATAGCAGCTCGGAGACAGCTCAGGAACTACAAGAGACTCTTCAAAATGGGATTAGAATTCTGGCTTTCAAAGCGGAGCTCAGGATTTGAATAGGGTTTGGAGGTCTGACTTTGGGTACCAGATAAGGAAGAGAGGTTGGTACAGGACGTTGCCTGGAGCTTGAAGGCTTGGATTTACAAGTCAAAGAAGAGGTTGAGGCCTGGGGTCTTGGCCAGCTCCATGCTGATGAAAAGCTGTGGCTGGCAATCTGTACATCTTCTTTGGAGAAATGTCTGTTTAGGTCTTCTGCCCATTTCTGGATTGGGCTGTTTGTTTTTTTGATATTGAGCTGCTCGAGCTGCTTGTATATTTTGGAGATTAATCCTTTATCAGTTGCTTTGTTTGCAAATATTTTCTCCCATTCTGAGGGTTGTCTTTTCATCTCATTTACGGTTTCCATTCCTGTGCAAAAGCTTTTAAGCTTCATTAGGTCCCATTTGTTTATTTTTGTTTTTATTTCCACTTCTCTAGGAGGTGGGTCAAAAAGGATCTTGTTGTGATTTACGTCATAGAGTGTTTTGCCTATGTTTTCCTCTAAGAGTTAAAGGATGCTCAACATCATTAATCATTAGAGAAATGCAAATCAAAATCACAATGAGGTATTACCTCAGAATGGCCATCATTAAAAAGTCTACAAACAAGAAATGCTGGAGAGGGTGTGGAGAAAAGGCAACCCTCTTGCACTGTTGGTGGGAATGTAAATTGATACAGCCACTATGGAGAACAGTATGGAGGTTCCTTAAAAAACTAAAAATAGAACTACCATATGACCCAGCGATCCCACTACTGGGCATATACCCTGAGAAAACCATAATTCAAAAAGACACATGTACCACAATGTTCACTGCAACACTATTTACAATAGCAAGGACATGGAAGCAACCTAAGTGTCCATCGACAGATGAGTGGATACTGCCGGACCTGCCGGTCCTCCCAGCTCTGAAGCCCAAGGCGACCCCATGACGGAGGGAATCTGCTAAAACTAAAGCAGCATCTCAGCCTCCTGGGCTCAGGACAGGTGTTCTAGCGGGAACGTCAGCCCTCCTCACCAACAGGCAGCTCTGCCCACATCCTGGGAACCTTCAAAACAGAAGAGGAGGGTCCCAAGTGGCCCCAGGGCTCCTGAGCAGGTCAGCACATAGCGCTTTCCACTAGAAATCACAGTTAATGAGTCAAGGGATGAGCAATTTGGCCAAAGCCACCCAAGCTGCTGACAGGCAAGCACCCAGTTAACACTCCTCATTAGTCTCATTCAATTAGGACACCTGATGTTATCATTATTAATTACAATTTGTTGGGACAGATAAATAAATGCTAGCGAGCATGGATTTCAGGCGATTTGCCGTGAGAATGGCACGTGTCAAGCACGCTGTGCATCAGGAATTTGGGAATTGACCCCAATTCAGCAGAGAAGGGGTAGGGATGTGTGTTGAGAACCTCCATCACGCCAGCACCTGGTGGTCCTCAGCCAGATCTGACCTTCGAAGCACCGATGGTCTTGGTTCTGTGGCACCCCCAGAGGTCTGCGAGGGTCCTGGGATGTTATACTTTGTAAAAACTCCCTGGGGGGAGTCTGATAAGCAGGCTAGTTGAGAATCACTTTGCTGGATTCTTCAGGAAAGTCCTTGCCTGGCTGCATCTTCAGTGACCTTGATGGTCAGGACTGTAACCCTCACTTTTCAGCTCAGGCAAGCCAAGCTCTGGGGGGGACAGGTCACCCCAGAATCAGAGAAGCCAGAGCTGTGCTGGTAACCCAGAACTGTGCGGGTGCAAAGGCTGGCTCTGCCCTTCCATGGACCAGCCTGGATGCCCTTTCTCACCTGACTCAGTTGACCTTCTCTGCTGCCCACCCCACCCTCAGCTTGAGTACACTTAGCAGATGCTGTTGATTGATGCACAGCTATAGTGCGACATTAACGGACACTGCTTATGCTTACGGGAGCAAGATTCTGGGAAACAACCAATTTGGGAAAAAGCAAAAAAAAAAAAAAATTAAGATTAAATAAGGTCACTAAAAAAGAGTGATCATGCTAGGTACTGCTGTTCAAATATCCTTATCTGACAAGAAGACTGTCTTTGGCAGACAGTGATTGTTAACTACCCAAATGCATCCTCGCTCTTCTTCCTTTTGAATAGGACAATTTTCTTCAAGGAGGCAGTATGATCCATTAAATACTCATTTGCAGCCAGAAGTAGCCATAGTTCTTGCCAATGAAATATTAGTCTGCTCCTGGCTTCTAAGAAAAGTCTTGCTTTTTGAATGAAAGGGAATAGCTACAGATGGTTCCACTTTTCTCCCCTTGGCCACTATTCTTCTACTTTCTACCTTGAGCACATATGTAATGTCTGGAGCTGCAGCAGCCCCTTGTGACCATGAAGCTATGAAGGTCTCAGAGTTACTGAACCTGTTATCATAGCGCCACCTACCTTCAGACTTCTTGTTATGTGAGAAAATAAACCCTCTTTGTTTAAGCCACTATAAGGCAGAT